ATGGAACATATATCCATGCATATGTTTCATGTCACATAGCTGGGAATACATGTTTCGGTCCGGTTTTTGTTTACTTATGTTTTCAGGGCTTTAATAATATTTGTCTAGAAGTTATTATATTGCTATGTACTTGAAAGAGTGTAAATTGCTGTGAATGTATTTGTATGTATGCGTGTGTGTGTATTTCCATTCATTTTACTTGTAAGGATTTGATGAATTTAGTTGTTCAATAATCATTACCAACATATAATCGTATGCTATTGTTGTTGTCGCAATTATCCATCTTGTTTTTGTTGGTTTGCATCAACAATTTAAAAGCTATTTTGACTGAATGTTTGTCTGTCTGCCTCTCTGTCTGTCTGGCGAAATTGTATAATGAAAAATTGACATGCGATTCTGTAATAATGACAGTAAAATGTTGATTCTATTTGGGAATTACATTTTCCACGAATGGTCTTTTGATTCTTCTTCTTCTGCTTTGAAATCGTTCAAATTACATTTGTAGACCAGAAGAAGAAGAAGAACACAGAATTTTCACAAAATACATCTCGCCGCTTCAGGACATTCGAACGTCATTTGTGCGAAGCAGCTGTAGCTGAACATAACATTGACGACGATGACAACAACAGCATCATCCTTATGCAGGCGTGTTGTTGTTGGTTGAGAGGGGCATTAATGTTGTGTGCGTGTAACATTCAATTAAATTACATCTTAAATAACAAAGTGTTGTTTAATTTACAGCACGAAAAGTCCTTCAATACAATGAGTAGTGATGTTACATAAAGTAATTAATTACTTGCAACACAGAGAGAAGAGATAGGCGGACAAACACGCATACAGGCCACAAAGGACAAATCTTGGATTTCGTGTGAATTGTTTTTTGTTTCTTTCGAAATGAAATTAAAACATTAAACAATAAATTGTCGATTTCAAGTTGACTTTTGTCTTTACTATTACCACCACCACCGATGTCTGTTGTATAAAAAGAACAAGAAAATCAATTTCAATTAAAAGCCGTTTCTAAAATTTCTCGTATATTCGCCGCAACAGAAAATAAAATCGAACAATTTGTTCGTATAATTTAATGCTTCTGTTCAATAGAAATATATGTTTACGATTTAAATTCAATGGCAGGCGAATTTTCATTCTCTAAATAGGTTATATATTAATCAAAATTAAAATATGTACATACATTTATACATTTTACACCACCCATTTCTGCTTATGTTAGTACATAATTCAATAAATTAATATTTATTTCTGTTTGTATCTGATTGTACACCCGACATTCGCTCATCATCCAACTACCATGATAATTGTTCTTGTGCGAACATTTTGTCGGCGCTTGTGGCCGTCCGTTCGTTCGTCTGTCCATTCATTCCTTCGTACGTCCATTTATTTGATTGCGTGTTTGAAATGCCTTTTGTTTGCCTTTATAATCTTTATTAATTGGAAATGTGTTTCAATTTTTCATCTTTTATTATGTCTCTGCCTTAATTCATACATCCGAGGCAGAGATGCCATTTGAAAATATTGAGTATTGAGAGACAGAGGGAAAAAGACAGATCTCACACATTCTTCCTCTTAAGTGGTAGAATTAAGAAATTCAATTAATTTATAAATACATGCATTGAAAATAAAATATTTTTAATATGAAATAAATTAAGTTTTCCGTATTCGAGGAATTTTTTTTTTACTGAGTTGTCTGGTTGTTGTTTAACGCCAGCTGCAAATAGTCAAATTACAAACAAATAACTAATCAAGGAAATATGAAAATATGTTTCTCTAAACATATGCATGTTAAACAGTCTATACATATATAGGAATGTACTAGGATATATTAAATAAACGAGGCTTTTTAGGCATTCTTCTATTTGAATACTGGCCCATCATACTATCTAAATTAATTAACAAATGGATTTTTTTAATAGTGAATAAAATGGAAATAAAACAAATACTAGTTTTGAAACAATAGAAAACTTATTGTGTTGGCTGTATGCACGATAGCTGCCACTGTAGCCAGGGGCTTCTCCTGTGCTCCTTATTGTCCATAAAAGTTGTAATATTTAAACACATTCTCAAATAATTTTTTACTCCATTGAATGTTTTTATGGATACTGGAATTAACACATTTTTGGAAGTGTGGAAAAAAGTGATTTAATGCATATATTCCATGCGAAATTCAATTAATTTTTGAACTGTCCTGTCGCTATTAGGATATTTAAAGATTCATTTTAGTGCTACCTAAATCATGTATTGGAAAATTCACAATTTCAATTTATATTTCAAAGCTTTGAATTCAAATCTTAATGTAATGGCAGGAAAACGTAATTTTTTTAAACATTTCTCAGTTGAAATCACTACTACAACACCCACATTCTGTGTGACATTATATTTATATTTGTGTAATTGCTTGTTTACTTATCGCCATGGGATAATTCTTGGAAATTAATTTTTCCAATAATATGTGTATTTTTGTATACACATAATGACGATTATGTCTAAAGTTGTATAACATCGTTAAATATTGAATGGACTGTATTCAGCAGCCAATAACAATCGCTTGATGGCATATAATTTCATAAATTCCCCAAATACCCTCCCTTTTGCAGCATCACAAAACTTGTGTACAACTGTCACTGGAACTCCTTGAACCAAAATATTTGTTTTCCACCAACTATCATTTTTCTACATTGGAATAAGAAAAAAAGTTTATATATATTTTGTTTTTGTCAAAGTTTGACATAGTGTGGAAAATAAGCCATATAGGCACAAACATGTTATTAATTTGTCACATTAGATTCCGCAGAAGATGGAAGCGGAGAGATGTTGAAAAAATATGTTTAGTTCGAATATAAATGGCGACATGCGTCTTAAATTTTATTCAGCCCTTGTTATAATGAATATGGGGCCAAAAGAATACTTTACCCTTACAAGAGGTTGGGGGTAAAAACCCTAAAAATGTTATGGCATTTCATTAGCATTTCACCAGCTGTTTTGTAGAGAACATCTTTTTTGTGCTATGGGGGAGTCGGTAAAACATTCTGTCATATATGCTAAGAAAAATCATTCATTCGCTTGATTAATGAAGGAATTTCGTGGCTACAACATTGATGGAAAACTCCATCCTCATCTGATCATCAGCGGGGTGGAACTTGTCGCAGCCTTTGAAAGGTGTTACGGACTTGGCATAAACATTTTCAATACAATTAATATCCATCAAAACAAAATTTAAACGTTACGAGACAATCTTCCCCAAAAGATGTGTGGCCATGGATATGGTTGTGTGTGTATGTGTGTGTTCCTTGTGTCGGAATCGTAGACAACTTTAGCTGTTGAGTGATAATACAAAAACCAAGTTGACGTAAATTTGCAACCCTTTTTATACTTTTGGCAGAACATGTTTGTTTCATTTATCATTTGGAGCTGGGTCTGGTTTTCTTAAGGGCAAGTCCAAGTTACTGCCAGCATTACCGCCGGCTGCAGCTGTAACCACCAAATGAAAATATAAAAGTGTCATTTATTCAAACAGACGTTTTAACCATTAAAACCTGCTGCAGCTTCTTCATTACGCAGGAGTGAGAGTATGTGTGTGTGTGTGTGTGTGTCTGTGTGTGCGCGTGTTAGTATGTGCTGACGGCAAAGTTTGGTTGGCCAACCAATTTCAATATTTCATTCACCGAACTGTGTGTTCGTTCGTATTTTTTTCCTCGTTCAGTGCGGGACAATGCAAATATTTCCAACCCCTCGAACTGAGTAATTGACTGCTTTGCAAAATGAAATTATTTAATTAATTAAATTGTATTTGCCTTGCAAAAGTTTGTGGCCTTTCCGCTGCCAGGCAGAAAAAACCCCTTTGCCCATTAGAAAGGCATTCGACTGGAGACGTCGGAAACGGATACTGATTCATGCACATCAGCAATCACTTCATTCTTTGCCCAGCAAAAATATACTTGTACCCGATTCCTGCTTCTGTTGCTGTTGATGTTGCTGCTTCATCAGCCGCCGCAACTCAGCTAACTTTCACAAATCCGCATTGTATTCGACGTAGTACAATTTTCATAGTTTTTCCCCAAAGAGTTTTTGTTTGGACCCTTGGCTATGTGTTGCACCCCGCCATCCCATGCCATGCCGCCGAAATGCAATGGGTATGACACCCTGTGTTATTTGTTAACGTGTAACCCTAGCGTCTCTACTGCTTTAAATGCATCTTTATTTTATTTTTTAACCATCACTCCGACCGCTCCCCCTCGGCGCTCTATTCAAGTGAACTTTTCATTAGTTGTTGTTGTTTTTTGCTGATGTTGTTTGGATGAAGTGACTGCAGAACAGCATTACTCTCGAAACGAAAATTTAATTTCCGTTTTTATGCAGCATTTGAACTTATTCAAATCGTAACACACCCCTGCCATCACCAACAGCCAAGACCAGAAACAACAGCAAATTCATCTCTTGACTCTTGCTAGTTTAATTTATAGATCATCGTCATCATCAACAACAAGAATAACAACAATGGCAAAAAAAAAACAACAGCATAATAAAATGCTGATTTAAAACAAAATAAAAAAATGTTTTGTGTAAATGTTCTATGTTTTTTTATAACATTGAAAGCCATTCCATTAAATTCAATTAATTTAAAGACTGCAATGAATTGTTAATAATGAATTAATAAATTTACTTTGGTAATATGCTTGGGAGGGTCAAATAGTTTTTGTGTTTGAATTTGAAGGAAGGACAACAATAATACATCATAAAAAATCGACAGGAAATTTGTTCAATGATTAACTCGCAGTTGTGATATTTGTTTGTAAATTATTTCAGATATGATTAAGAACCTTTGCCTCGGTGAACTTTCATTTATTTTCGATGCCTGCACTACAGAGACAAATAGATCGAATTTAATAATTACAAACATAATTTATATTTTTATGTGTACATACAGACATATCTTCCCGATATTACAAATATACTAATTAAGCTATTGTTCTCTCTTCTTTTAGGTGAAGTTGAACGTCTACTTAAGGAATACCGTCAGAACCAAGAATTGGTACGCCGTATCGGTGGCCATTATTATCAAATCATTTACCCGGTGCAGCTAAGACACCACGAGAAAATGGGCATTTCAACGCGTGAAGTGAGTCCACCCAAGGTACGCAATCGTTTACGTTCAAAACGAAATTTAAACAATTACACAATGGTATGTTCATACTCTCACTCCTCACTCCTTTCTATCTCTCTCTCTCTCTCTCGCTCTGACAAAACTTTCTCATTCATCTGTTAAGACTTCATTCAAACATTTTTTTCTTTTTTTCTGGTTTCTTTTTATTTTAAAGTCATTTGAATCTGTTTGTTTTTATATTTTATTTTTTGATTTGACAATCATTCAACAAAATGGAAACGCCATCAATAGAAACGAAACAACAAAATCTTCAAGTGGAAAACAGAAACACATATCAATTTCACTTATTCAAAATTCCCAAACTGAAACCATACACCCAAAGAATAAATAAAACACTCAATAAATATCAGACAAACCAACAACAATACAAATAACAATAACAATAACAGCAACAGCAGCAAGCATACCATTGCTTAAACAAACAAACAAAATAGTTATAATTCTTTCGAAATTTTATGCATGTTTTTCCACCTAATGAAGATTTTAGATGAAATAATTCCTAACGTATTTTTTCTATTCTATATAAATTGAATTGCATGTTTCTCTCCATTCGTTTTCTTTCATTATTTCTGATGATAATATAAATTGCATTTAGCAGTAACATCTTTTTTAATATTGTCACTAAGAATTTGTACAAATTTTGTAAATTGACAAAGAGAACGAAATTGAATTCTATTCATTATTTATTATTTTTTTTTTTGTATATACAATACAAGAATGTAGTTTTATTTTTCACTGAAATATTTTTTAGTATATGAGAAAAGTGTATAAAGAACGTAGATATTTCCCAAATAATATACTAATGATAATAATAAACCAGTAACGAAAGTAAAGTTTGGAACCCAATTAACACGAATTGGGTCGGAAATATATATGGGCTAAGTCTGTAATTCTACAAAACGCAATTAAGACATTTTATGCTCAATTTTGTACGTTATGCAAAAATTCATATCAATTTGACAAACATAAAGAGTTTGATGTACCATTTACTTAAAATCGGACGGAAATTTATTAGGAGCTATATCCAAATATGAACTAATTTCAGCGAAACTTGTCTCAGGTTAGATTATACTAATTTCAGTACGTTTGATTAATATCGGCTATATTTTGGGACCATGGAGCATCATTTACTTTAAATCGAACGAAAATATAGATGGGACATTTATCTAAATCCGAGCCAATTTTCTCGAATCATTGTAGACATAACTCAGTGCGCTGTGCCAAATTTCGGGCAAATCTGAAGATATAAAAGGACTTTGGTATAACATTTACCTAAAATCGGACGAAAATATATATGGGAGCTATATCTAAATCTGAGACAATTTTCACGAAACTTAATTCTATGCATATTCTCCAAAGGAACCATGTGTCCATCTCGTTTTCTTTTGACTGTTACAAACATATGCACTAAGACATAATACCCCTGTACCACAGTGTGGTGAAGGGTATAAAAATGAAAAAAACAACAAAAAACAAAACAAACTAAAACCTATAACTAAATAACTATCGATAGTAATACGGCAAATTTATCCAAAAATGTTCATTTTGTTTTTGTCCAGAGGCTAGATAGGATCAAAATACTTTGTATTGTTGGCAGCCTCCATAAAACCAATGGATTTAACCTTCATTCTGTTGATTTTGCCACTATCTATTCATTGTTTAGGATGGACAGAACTGCATCCATTAAATGTTGCATCCAGGGATGGTCCGTATGACGAATTTTTAGGTTTTTGACTGTCAAAAAGGTGTAAACGTCGAAAACGTCATATACCTATATAAATTGTAATAAATGTAGTTAACGTCATTTATTTCAATATTATTACCATATACAGTTATTTTCAAGAATATATATTATTTTTACATATATCTGACTATTCCTTACTAGAACTGATAACAAATTCAAAACTTTTTTTAAAAGACAATTTTGAAATTTGATTTGGATTTGAGTAAACCATACTTAAATTCCAAATTAATTAATGGAAAATGCCATTTTGTCAAAAACCTAATGGTTTTGGGTGGGTTTCCGACGTTTCTGACGTATGTATTATACGTCGGAAATGTATGTCATTAACGTCACTGTTTCTCTGGTTGTATCTCGTTTGCAACACCTCGAAATATTCGACATATATACCCCGTATATTTTATTGTTTACTCTTGACCCGAAAATAATAGAGTTGGCTACATTGATGAATGGCATATATCGGTCGTGGTGATACGTTGACAAGGTCAAGCAATAACTCTATATTTCGATTTTGCAAATCATATTACATCGATTTTAAGTTGATAAATGTGATGTATACGTCAACCGAACATTGTTGAATATATTTTTCGTTTTTATCTTTCGATAAAATAATCCAACCATTTACAAAGAAAATTTAAAGTCTATTACGAACGTTCGACTTTGTGACTTATTTCATGAACATAATTCTACTTTTTAATGCAAATGTCGATTTTATCAGAATAGGTCCTTTTTAAAATAGGCTTATTATTTTATATACACTGCAACCAAAATTACATTTATTCGAGACTTTTTGAAAAATAAACATATCGTGTTTTGAAATTAGTAATGTATGGAAAAGTAAATTGTCTCTATTTTTACTTGGACAAAACTAAAGCAAATCTAATGTGCAAACAAATGAACTCTGAAAGTTTAATTATTTTTACCGTTGCAATTACTATGTTTTGATTTCTAAACCTATTACACCTTATAGAAAAAAAAAACAGTTCGTGCTGATCAACAAATTGCCATAGCAGTAAAAAATACACATCCAAGTGTTCAACTAATTTGTGAGAGGGTTATCGTTGGATATGTCCTCAAGAACAGAGCGTGAACGAGCTATGGTAGCATGACTATATTCACGGAGACTATCAAGAAGGTTCTTTTATTTCTGAAAAATAGGAAAGCCAAATTTGGCTTTCGCAAAAGTTCTTATAGTCTATAGTATAGTAGGAATGCGCCTCAGTGGAGTAATGTTATGTTCTCGGATGAATTAAAGTCTCAGACACGAAAATACCCGAGGAATCAAATTGAGCATTATATTGTTTCAATGCCTCGATTGTTGCCGCAATCAAAAATAATGGTTATGCTGTCCATAACTAGCAAAATTTACTTTTTTCATTTATTCAGTTTGCAATGTCAGTTGCTTTAGTTTTGGCCACAAGTGTATGTAGGTCAATATACGATTTTTGATAGCATTTTCTTTTTTTTCTTGTTTCCAACAAATGTGTAGCAGGTGCTTTATTTTACTAACTTACCATCAACGATGACCAAAATTATAAGGACATATTTTTTTTTTCTTGCCACTCATCTCAATAACAAAACGCCATTGCTTACCAATTGAAATTCCACTGTTTCCAATTACAGCATTGGGCCGAGGTTTCTCGAATTAAACTTCAGTGAAATAAATTTGAGTACAATTACGCCGTTTTTAATTATTAATGGCACAAATAATTCGTGTTACTTACATTTTAAACTGCCACGATTTTTTTATGTTTTCGAAAAACTATTTGTCATCAAAGAAAATCCGTAATATTTCTCTGCACAGTTTTTTTTCCAGACATCTTCATTAATTTATAAAATGTAAATTACGAAATAATTAATTAGAGGTCGAAAGCAAAATCCAAACAAGTACGAAATATTCTCAGAAAAAAAAAACACCAGCTACAATGTATTTTAAGAAGAAGCCAATTAGTGGATATTCTCCGGGGACCTTTTGTTGCGTGAGTGTTTCAGCGAAAATGTCGCACTTCAAACATATTTAATTGCTTCGGAGTAAATTCCAAGAGAGCTACAAATAAATGGGTTGAGATGGTACAGCTGCTTCTGATGCTTGTTGTTGTTTTTTGTTATTATTTGTAGTCATAGTAGAAGCTAAACAAGTCTTATGAATTTAATTTGATAAAAAGAAAAGTTTATGTATGCGCAATGAATTATTCAAAATACACGAATTGTCGAAAGATAAAAAACGAAGGCGAAAAAGAAAAAGGTTTACAAAGGACCGTCCCATTGATGTACAAACATGCTTTGTTATGCTAACCTAAAGCCATTCATCCAATCCCCTTGCCTCGGGTCTGGCATTCGATTTGTTTGCTCAAAATATTTTGGCAACTGAAAAGCAATTCGTTGTTGCCCGCCTCCGCCGAATATTCGATACACTTTGGCATTCAATGTAATAAAATGCAAAATACTTTATTGTGAGTAGGCCGCAATATTTATGAAGGAAATTAGCAAATTAGCAACGAAAAGCGTTTTGAAACAATTTGTAAGCGAACGTGTTTCCAATTGTCGTTGCCATTAGACAGGGTATCCCTGCCCCGGGCAATTGGGGCAGTAAAACAGTACTTAAAGTATAAATCGATGTTTCATTTACTTGAGCCAAAGAAAACAAAAACAAAAAACTTTTCAAATTTGAAACAGAAGGCACAAATAATGTTTGCAACATGAGGTAGGCCCAGACAGTCATGTCGGTGGCACGCCGGCACATTTATAAGTAATACGTTTACAAAAAGAAAAAAAAACACGAGCCCACCAAATGTTGCAGTTGTCTGCGGATGGGAACTGGAAACCGAAGCGAAATCAGAAAGGAGTACATAACGGCGAAAAAATTGATTACCAAGAATGGTGTAAATTGTTCTGATTTATTTTCAAAATCAATGAAGTTCAACAGTATACCCCATCATTTGTTTCCGTTAAACGATTTGCCGTTCTTACTGCGTTTATTTTTGACGAGAAAATGTGCCCAGAAGGTCTCACTTTGTTTAACGCACCCACACTGACAGCTACTGCCAGCAACGAATGGCAAATCAGTAATCATTGAACGCCTTGCTGTCTTGCCTTGTCGCTCGTTGATATTTGTAATATGTACGTGTGTGTCTGTGTTTTTAACAAAGCTTAGTGTTTAAATTGTAACTCATGTTTAGGTTGCCAACAAATATTTATTGTCCCTCTGGCAATGCGAGCAAAATGTTACCAAGAAAAAAAGAAGCTGCTCACATCCTGTTGTACTAAATGTGAATTTATATTTCCAAAACATACAGTCAATATGTGTATGATATTTTTGTATGTGTGTTTTCTTTATTTCTGTCTGTTTTTTTCACATGACATTCTTTTGAACATAAAATATTTTTCTTTACACCAAGCAAAAATTAAATAAAAAATTCAAATATTTATTATTTATAAAATATTTAAATATTTGATGATTTAATCAATTATATCCCAAAAAAAGACAAAACTTCATTTGACATGCCCTTTTAGCATACAAATTGAAATTTGAAATCGAGGTGGCCATCCCCAAAAACATTTCAATATTTTAGATAAAACTAGCTTTCGTCTAGGGTATTTTTTACTTGTAATGGTGTTTTCAATACATTCGAATTTCTTATATTACAGGGTTCCGATAAGATCTATAGATCTGTAAGCCTATTCTGTAACTTTTAACAACATTCGATATTGTTTAATTTTCCTTTGTTATTGTAAAAACAACAAAAGTAACAAATGAAATTGTTGTAAAATAAACAATGTCGAATGTTGTTAAACAGTTACAGAATAGGCCTACTGAACTTAGTACTTTATTAGTTTAAACTTCAGGTAATTATTTTAATTTTTTGGCCGCTGACAAAAATTAGACTACTTTAATAAAAAATGAGGGAATTAATAACAGAAAAAGTAATAACAATGATAAGGTATACATGAAACTGTAGATTGGAATAATAAAATAATGTAAATTATTAAAACTTCACTTCAGAGCTAATGATGGTATCCAACTCAATTTTTAATTGAAACTGAAACAACTGATTTATTTCTTCCAGTGTATCAACAATTTATCGCTACAAACTAAGCTCAAGGCATCAAAACATATAATGAAAATAAACTCATCTTCGTTTCGGCGTTCTCTCTCTCTCACTCCACATTTTATTCCAAATAAGGAACGATAAATATTTTCTCCGGAAATGTACACAAAAAAGATTTATTAGCAAAATTGATTTACAACATTCTTTGGCCAACATAATCGTTTGTTTGTCTATTTGTTCATTTATTCCCTCACAGTTACAAATAACATTTTGCTTAAACTCAAAGCCGAACTGACACACGCACCCACTTATTTTCGGTTTTGCTTACCCCAATTATTGCTCTTGCTATTTTTATTGCATTTTTTGCCAGTCTTTGTGCAAAGTCCAATTTATAAGCATAAATGATAAAGAGAATTCCCATAACCATATCGAAACCAATGTCAATAGAACGGCTCCGCATAAAATATGTGTATATATTCCGATTGGGAAATTTAACCGAATAATAGTCATTAACGTTTTTTTTTATTACATTATTCATGGCCACCTCAGTGACCACAATCAGTTGGTCCGAATGTTTCAATGCATTCATGGTATTCTGGTATTATTAGTTGGGAGTTATGTTGCAAATGTTGTCTGTCTTTATTGCTATTTTATTTGATTTCTTTAAAGAGCTATTGCATGTGGCATGGTTTTAACCTTTATGGCCATATTAACGATCACGATATAATTTTCATCACAATTTGGTGAATGTTTTGTGACAGGGTTATTATTTTGTATGGGGGAATCAAAGTCATTAATATGTGGTAGAGGATGAAATGAAAAACACCGAACCTCTTTTACGGATTCGTTCAATACCAGGTATCCCTTTTCGATTGATGTTTTTAGTGCTTATATCAGGGCCAAATTTTCATATGAATCTCGAAAATTTGGCAGACCCATCCCAATCAATAAGTCATATCCCTAATGTATACAGGTTGGATAGTTGTAGTAGAGTTTTCTGCCATTTTCAATTTACAAATCAAATTTTGTGGGTATTAATTACACTTTTCCACCCACATTTCATGATTGTATGCAGTAGGGTAAAAATAGCTAACTACAACTGCAAGTCTTAATTAATTTCATATACTAATATAATATTTTTGTGTAATATATTTATTTATCTTTTTTATTTTAATATAAATAATTAATAACTATGTAAAAGCATTATTGTTTTTTTTTATAACATTTTTAATCAAACAATTGTACAGATTTATATAATGTTTTACCTTTTCACATAATAGTTTTATACAACTCTTTTATATTTAAACTCTTAAACAATTAACTATAAATTATTGTCCATGTACTTATACTTTAAGGCTATTATTTTAAATTTAAATAAAAAACCTGTCGTTTTATTTCTTACAGCCTGGACAACGACCACGTCCTCATGATGATGGTGGCTTTAGTAGAGGAAGAACAAAGGTATGCTTGATAAAACTTTTTCAAAAAAAAAAAAAAATAACTAGAAATGTTTAAATTATGTATTATGTTGATAGATAGCATCCCTGCTAACCTCGGATATATGGTTTTACATGAAAATCTAATGTCCGTATATTAATTGTAAACTTAACTAAACAACTAATTAAAGTTTGACTATTTAGTATCTGGCAACTAATTTATATTTTGTCCTGACCCTTTTGGTGGTCGACAACGTACACAGCGACCATAGCTGGTATTACTTCCAGTACAGTAATGGGTGTTTGTTGCAGCCCACGAACGTTGTTGTATCAAACACAACCTAAAAAACTAATTCATTTCACTGTACGTAGGCATGTTTACATATGTGTGTTGGTAATTAAATCCCTTTTTGTGGTCCTTTGGTCATTGCAGGACTTTTCATTACACTGTGTGATAATTTCCAACAATTTATTTTATTAATAATGTTGGCGTCAAAGTCATGCGCATGAATAATTTCAAAACATTTCCATTGTTGGCCATCAATGCCACTCAGCACGCTGTGACATTGTCAAGCGTGTAGGAGATTATCATTGTGTGGTAGTTGGTCACTGGTCTATGGTCACCTACAGTTCAAAAGTATAAGCTTTTCATTACATATCATTAGCCAGTGTCCACAATATTTGTCAGATGCATAAGTAAACAATATTTATGCAAAATGTTATATGGTTTGGTTTGTCGGTTCGCTGGTTTGGTGAAATGGCAGTGAGTTGTCGTTGTTGTTATGCCCCGGAAGAAATGACAAATATTTTCAAAATCATACTTCCCCTTTGCTGTATAATCTAAAAACTACCACAACAATTTGTAATGTTGCAATAATTTAGATATACTTTTTTCCAGTGGACTCTAGCAGTTCTGTGTATGAATGGAAATAGTTGGCATTTCGAAATCAATTTCAGGGTTTAGAGAGTAAATTTAGAGATACTAAACTCAAAATGGGTGTGTGTATATCTAGTAACATGCACGTGTCTGGGTTTGTTCAACGTCCGCATTACCCTTATACGCAAGGACGCCTTATCCAATCCAAAATGCCGAATATGATTTTCAATCGACAAAAAATTTGATTTGATTTAGAAACATTAATCCGCGGGAAATAACTTTGGATGGAAGTTAATCCTATTAACTTCCACCACTCTTTGGATGTTTTTTTATTTCATGTTTGGCAACCCTAATTCCAGTTGCTTTCATTAGTACTCTTCGACAGCAATTATGTAAACTTAGAAAATATTTTTCAACATTCCTCATGGCAGAGATTCAAGAATTTTCAAATATTATAGAAAGAGTGCTGATAGTTTGTCCAGTTGGTCATACCATAGACTACTCTGAAGAAACTTATTGGGGTCTGAGTGAATGACAAACATATCCTCGGGCTAACTTAACAAACCACATCTGAAGCGCATACAAAATTAAGTACCATATTTGCTGGCTACACTTAACATAAAACCAAAATGGAATTTTCAGAAACACACCCACAAAATAATGGGGTTTGTGGCAGCTGCAACAACTACAAAAACTGAAAACGCCATGACAAACAACATGGGTCAGACTGTCGGACCATGCAATTTTCTACATTTAACCCAAAATGAAATGGCACAATATATGACCAAAATAAGGGAATGCTGCTGTTATTGTTGTTGTTTAGGGTATATACATACCAGTGTATAAATAAACAATGTCATCCCGACCCGAGATAATAAAATATACAGGTATAGTGGTGTTCTACAACTAATCAAATCCTCCTCATGTAAGGCACTACTACATATGTATATTGCAGTGTCATACAGTGTCCGGTATTGTAAATTAGGTATGTCTAGAATTGTGCTGACACAGTGACCCCGTTCGAATTCCCACGAAGGGTATGATAAATAGTTCTATAAATCATCGATTTGTTATAGTTTTCAATAATATTACACATTCTTCTTAAAGTGCCGTTTCCATATTTTCAATTTTGAAAATAATACTCACTGTATTTGGCAGTTTTGTTGCTAAAAAGCTAAATACAATTTTTTCAAAATTTTTAAATAACATATTGACCAGTGACTGTAGTTGTGTCTACAAACAACATATGTATGTTGGACCAAAGGGTCATTCCCATATTGAAACCAAAAAAAAAGGTATAAAAAACTACATCTTAAGATGTATCCAGTAAGGATACATCAGATGACGATGATGTACATACCTAACCCACATTAAATCCCAGTAGATTTGTTTTAATTTAGGTATTCCGGAAATTAAGTTATGTACCCAAACGACATTCTGCCTACACGTTGATATCTACGATAGTGGTGTAGCATCAGCTACCTTCCCACACCACACGAAGACAAAGACGAGATCTTTCTTTATTTCGGTTAACAAAAATGTAAAGCTTTTTTGTTTTTTTTTCTTTTTCAAATTGCAAGTCAAGGTGATTTTTTATTCTTAAGGGTTGAATTTCTAAAAATACTCTTCAAGCAATTAATCAAGTTTCTAACTTTTGTGGTATGTGGTGTTGTGTGAACACACAACCACACACGCACACACACATTTCCATGAATATACAATTTGTGTCTCCTTGATTATAAAATTGTTTAGCTGAAATTCAAATGAATTTCAAACAACATTAAAATTTTACCAACATATTTATCATCATTATGAGATCCCGAACGATGACACCTGCACTACGGTATTACCACAATTTTCCACGTGGTTTTGGCTCCAACCACACGAAATATAACTCACCATGGAATATAATTGCTTTAGATGTTTAAGCCAAAATAAGCTTTGTGATTTGGAGATGAAGGAGTTTGTACGTGTCTTCATATTTTATAGGATTGAATACTACAATAACAAGATGAAGATTTTGCCATTTCGGTTAATCGGTATTGCGATTGTGTTTTTTAGGATATTTAGAATTGAAAATTTGGCATATCGGTCCACATTTTCATATAACCCCTATTCAAATTGAGCTCGAGATTTTATTTATTTAGCTGTGACTGAAATTCAGGTTTTAATGGGTAAACACCAAGCAATTTTTAATATTTGCATATAATATAAACAAATTTGACTCAATTGAAAAAGTTATGGAACACAAAATATTGTCTTCTTCTCATCACACAAAATATTGTCTTCTTCTCAATGTGATAGTGTTTTTCTATTCGTCCTAGTCTAGGATGGTTATGTTGCGCATTTTTGTTCCGATGATTTTGTCCGTGAATGATCTGCTGCTGTGTATGCCGTATCGTATATGGTTCCTCTTAACATCTTCTCTTGGTGAAGTACATTTTGTTCTTCGGGAGAGCTCTTGACTCTGTTGTCTTCAACGCTTTCCAATATTAAATTTTGAAAAACCTTCAAACTCACCAAAGTAGACATTTTATGATAGAAGCATTCTCTTTTATACATAAATTTTCATTGTTCATTTTATTGATTATTTGTAATACGATTGTATTTGTTGTGGTAACATAATGACATACATACATCAATGACAATATTATGTAATAGCAAATTACCCATCTCCTTTGTAACATTTAATAAGAATAATATATTTGTTACCTGGGGATTTCAATGCTTCTTTCCAATAAAACAATGTTATATTGCCATTGCCATTTTCCCCAATACAATGTTATTTTTACAATGGCAAATATTTTTTCTTAATAATATTTGAATAATGTTGCCAAAAGTTTCCTTGCCTTGCCACATAACATATCCACATACCCAAGTTGTTGGTTATCTAAAAACCACATATACACACCTAAGCCTATTGTAAAATTGTAAATTTTATTTTAAATTTGTCTTAGATTGGTTTGGAAGCATTATTGTCGTCATTATCATGATTAGTATTGAATAGGAAATCAAATATAATAAATTTGCTCTACTCACACACACACACACTCACTTACTTACGCACATATTGCCACAACAGATTTACATAAATTCAAGGTTTCTCATTGTCGACAAGGAAATTGAAAATGGCAACAGCTTGTTAAACTGACAATAATTTTACATTTTCATGTAAAGATGTAATAGAGTACATTTATTGATTGTGTTCCAGGGCAAGCTAAAGGCAACACTGTTACAATTCGAGACTATTGAGACGAGTAAATATCAAATATTTCAAGTTTGAAGTCACGTTTTATTTTGTTTATTTTTTTTAATATTATTCTTAGTTCGATAACAGACACTTGTTCAAGACAATAAGAAACGTGTTTCAAGTATTCCTGGACAAATATGCGATGTATTTAAGTATTTAATCCCTTGCCTTTGGCATTTTTCTCATAAATTTACTAACAATAACAGAACATTAAAACAACATAGGGTATATTGTAAATTAAATGAGGGAACACTTATCGCTCATTTGCTGCAGGACCGTCATAAATAAAAAATTCTGGTTTTTAAGTTAATAATGCAGAATTGTTCGCTATATCATATTTCATGTTGAGAAGCTGTTCCTCTCTCTCTCTCTTTCTTATAAGGTGTGTGCAAACTGAAAAATTAAAACACATTTTCTGCAAAATCATTTTTTTTATTTATGACGGTCTTGCAGCAATTGAGTCATATGTGTAAAAATTTGAAAAATAAAATTTATTTCATTGATCCTTTCATCTAAATCGTATTAAGCACATAAATAGTTCAAAATGATAACAATAAATAGAGAACAAAATGTATTATTTTTAGATTTAAAACCATGTACGGTTAACACATATGCACTTATCCGACGCACATTCGTTTTGAAAACCCTCCACGGTATATAAATACTTTTATCACTGCCGATTAATAATTTTAGACCCTAGTTTGTTTTCTTAACAATGCCAGAAATACCCTCATATTTTCACAATAAAAAATATTAACAACAACAGTACCGGGCAAAGTAATAGCAGTGTGAGGCGTGGCCACTCGGAACTTTTAAAATTGTATATAGACAGATTTTTAAGTATAATTAGAACGAAATATATTGCAAAAATTCCAATTGCCCTTTTTTTAAATAAAAA